CCCCAGGGCCCCCCAGTGGCTCTGGCAAGCCGGCTGACGGACCTGAAGGTGATGAGGTTGGTGTAGACGAGGGCCGGGCAGAGGAAGGTGCCCAGCAGCCGCAGGACGGGCGTGCCCAGAGGCCATGTCCCCCCCACCAGATCTTGGTCAGGAAGGCCTGAAATAAAGGCAGGGCTGTGGGCCCCCCATCTCCACACCTTCACCCCACTGTGTACCAGGCCTGCCTGGCAAGCTTCGGCCAAAGCATCCCCCCCTCGGCCCCGCCTCCCAAAGCCCCACAGCCTCCATCCCAGTGGGGAATAACGTTCCATGGGGGGACACCAGGCTCGGGGGCCGGGATGGGGAAGGGCATAGCTGAGGACGTGGCGTTTCTGCTGAGACCAGAGGTGGAGAAAGGGGCAAGTGGGAAGAGTGGCCGGCAGAGGGAGCTGGGTGGGTGCCTTCCCGGAATGCAGCAGCCCCTCCCGGGCCCCCACCCTACACAGCCGAGATGCGGGCAGCGAAGCGGGACAGCTGCCGGCCAGGGGAGGGAGTGAGGGAGGTCATCTGGGCACCTCCTGTCTGCCTGTCACCGAGCAAGACCTTACGGGGCCTTCCCGGAACAGACCTCCTCCCCCGTGTCCTCCACCTGCCTCTTGTTTGTGGAAAACTTTAGCCTCCTAGGCCTCCCCCACGGTCCAAAGAGTAAAGTTAATCAGAGCAGTGAGAAAATGCAGAAAGGAAAACAGTCAAGCAAGACACAATTATAATAGCTCAGCCATTAAACAAAGTCAAGGACCTATAATTCCTCCTCAGGGGCTACAGATACTATTCTGAGCCACGTCCTTGGAGCTGTTTTGCAGATAGAGAACCCCCACCAGGTGGAAAAAGTTAACTGTGTGCTGCTCACCAACACGTAGACCCCAGACCAGTTGGAACCAGAAGGTTGGTGATGTTGACCCCTGATTCCCTCTCCACCAGCCAATCAGAAGAAGGTCCACGGGCTGAGCATGCACCCCACGACCCCCACCCACACTCTGTCTTCAGCCTTCGGGATGGGGGGTTTGGGC